GAAACAATTTCTGCCATGAAACTGACAAGCATGTCAATTTCACTGCTGCTAGGGACAGGGAGAGGTCTCCCACTGGGAGCGCTGTGTGGAGTTTACAGCCAACAGCATGTGAGTATTGAAGTTTCTGCACAGATACACTCTGTTGCCCTAACTACATTGATTTTTTTTATGCATAATACTTCTTGGGGAGGTGTAGCCCTTCAAGACAGGGACATCTGTTATAATTTGTTTTAGTATGCCCAGTGGTTACTATTGGGGATCTGCCCAGTCCTACTCAACATTCAGCCCTGTAAGTTGATGTCTGGATACTGCAATTGAGTGTAAGCAGATCTTGGATAGAAAATGTGTCACTTTTATGAAGCACCATACCTTTTTCATGTCTGCTGGAGCTGGTATGTGTCTGTTTTGATCCCGTTGGGATCTGCTTTCAATCCCTTTGCTGTAAGCAGATGTCCTGTATGTGTCGCCTCATGTTACTGAGTTGTATTTATGTATTTGGGGCCTGGCAGGGCCCATGGCAGGTGGGGAGCTGCTACAGCTCCTACCAGTTAACCAGAACCAGTAAGTATGGCCCATTAAGCCCCTGTGATGTGTCACAGGTTTTGTTCTGCTTTGGGGAGCAATAGTTCCCCAGAGCTCTTAGTATTGCTGGTGAGCCTTGGGGTGGTGCAGACCTCTCTTCTTATTCCTCAGTAAGGTAAAATAATATTTTGGCTTTCCTGCTATTGTTATGCTATTGCATGACCAGCTCTCTACAGCTCTAAATCCTCCTTTAGCTGGGTCCATCATTGGACTGTTTGTGTCTGCAAAATCTGGAGCTTTGTGGGAGCTTCAGACCACATTTCATGGCTCATTTTGCAATCTGCTGCCCTTCAGAAAGCTAACAGCTCAGCTGTTGCCATCATGTTTCATTTTTAGACTGAAATTGCAAGACTAAGCTGAACAAATGGAACTTTATTAAATGCTATCCACTCTGTCCGGGTGTCTGAATGCTTATAGCCTCCTGCTTTTCCTGGTGCTACCTTAATAACAGTCCTTCTAGGGAACATGAGCCCTCTGAGTACTTCCACTAATCATGATGCAGTAATAGCATCACCAGCTACGGGTCTGTATGCCATAGCAGTGTATCACAGTATTTAGAGTGGGTCTTTTAGATCTGAATTTAATTTTATAATGATTCCTGTCCTCTAACAGGCTTCTTAAAGAAGAAATCTGTGCAGATGTCACTTTTTGTGTTGGTCATACCCTATTCAGAGCACATAAATCAGTGCTTTTAGCAAGAGTTCCAGAGTTCTTCATATACAGTACTGGAAAACAGTCAAGTAATCTGAAAGACCATGAAACTTTTCATCTGGAGAACTTCGAACCCTCTGAATTCAAAACATTTCTGCAGTAAGTTTTTCATTATCTTTCTTTGTATTTTACTGTCTAAAAATTACAATGGCCTTTTAGTCAACAGTTTTTGTGCATATTCTATATTGTCTTGGGAAAGAATTTATTCTACAAAACTTTAGGTCCTGCTTAAAGTTATTGGATCTAATAGTGTTCCAATTAGCATTAACGGATTTCAGTAGGAGCAAGACTGGGCCCTTTGTTTAGGGGAGAGAGTTGCCAGATGGCTTCAACAGAAATACCAGACACACTTGACATTACATCACAATCTACATTACATCTTATTTAGAAAATACCAGACATTTATATTTTCTCAATTTGTTTCCCGAACAGAAAGCTCAAACACTGGACTGTCTGGTTCAAAACCGAACACCTGGCAACCCTAAGAGGAGTTTGGAACAGGAGAATATTTAATACTATATCTTAAATAATTAACCCACCCCTACCTACTCATACTAATTAATCCGTTCTTGGATGATACAATTAACTGTCCTCTAAGCTGAAATGAACATTTTGAAATAAATCCCTTGTTTTATGGGCTCTCTGGTTGCTAAATGCCAGTGTGGTTTACTGTGGCTGCTTAACATATCATCTGGTAAAGACTAAGTCATAACAGAAATGGGAAGTAATAATCTCCTCAGTGTTTATTTGTAAAGAAATAGGCTGCTTGCACTGACTACCTGTTGGTGGTTCATTATGGAAACATTTTCTATTTTAAAGGGCTAGTAATTAGCTTTCAGATTTGTAAATTTAAAACATCAAGGGTATGTCTACACTAGCCACCCTAGTGTGAACAAGGGTGGCTAATGTAGTCATTTTACTTGCAAGTGAAGCCCGGGATTTAAATGAGGAGTAACGATAGTTCGAATTAGGAGCTTTAATTTGAACTACCTAGCCCATGCCACGTGTAGCTGCGGGCAGGTAGTTCGAACTACTGGGCATAAAATGGCGGCTCCCGGGAACATGCAAATGAAGCCCGGGATATTTAAATCCTGGGCTTCACTTGCAAGTTTGAATTACTACATTAGCCACCCTAGTTTGAACTAGGGTGGCAGTGTAGACATACCCCAACAGATCTTAGACAAGGGTGATGTAATATCTTTGAGATCTTTCATCAACAGACTTGCTCCAATAAAAGGACTCGCTGTCCTATCAGTTACATGGAAAAATTGTTATATAGCATCTAGGAAAGAGGTCCTAATGGTGAAAATATTGAAATGTCTTTGTATGGTATAAAAGCTAGCGGCTGACTCACTGAATTTAATACTAGGCTGCCACCCTTAAGGTCTCCTTTTTTGGGGATGACTGTAACCTATAGGGTGAAAGTATGGGCAGATGGTTGAAAACAGATAATTAATTTGCTGTAAATCACTAATTAGTATGGAAGCAGAAGATTCTTTTAAAAAAAATCCAGAAAATATCGTTTAAAACATGGTATTTATGGGACACTGCTGTTTATAATGCAGTGTAGGATTTATCATTTTCCTACCAAGATGTTAACAGTATTATCTTCAAAATAATATAGTACTGTTTGTAATACTTCAATGACAACTTTCATTGAGAGTATATTTTAAAAATACTTTACTCAAAGTAAAGTATATGCATTCTAATTGTGCATCAAAACAATAATAGTGTGAGTTAGTCATGGTGCAGTAGGTTCTCATACTGAAGCATAACTTCCCGTGTCTTTTAATTAAACATTTGGACTTATTACTTACTGTTTAGAAAACAAAGGCTCATATACCTAGAATTCATGGCTGTGTATCACTTGCTTTCCAATGAACATGAGTTAATTCAGAACAAGTAAAAATCCTAAGGGTCCAGCAGGCTCCCCAAGGAAAAATATATGGTAGTCTTACAAACAACCCCTTCAGTTTCAAAACTCTGGGTATGTCTAGTCTACATGCCTCTGCTATAAATTAGATATACCGACATAGTCAATTAAGTGGTGATTTAAATATTCTCCGCTTCATTAAAATAAGAATGGCCTCCGTTTTGTGCCGGCTCAGCTGATCATCAGCAGAGCGCGGCAGTCAAGACGCGGATTGGTTGACAGGGAATGCCTTTGTCATCTGCTCCCTTATGCCTTGTGAAGCTACATAAAGGAGAGGTTGACAAAGGTATTCCCTGTCGACCAATACACGTCTTGACTGCCGCACTGTGCTGACGATCAGCTGAGCTGGCACAACGCAACAGCCATTTTTATTTTAATGAAGCAGGGGATATTTAAATTCCCACTTCTTTGACTGTCGGTATGTCTAATTGACATACCTCTGTCAGCAGAGGCATGTAGTCCAGACATACCCTCTATGTCTAATGTAAATCATTATCTGCACCTCTCTGTTTTTTAGATTATGTATGAATGCATCTGGGGGAGAGGGGAGAAACCCCACCTCTGCTTTAGTGCTGAAAGACTAAACAATTGAATGTATAGCCTCCTAATCTTCCATCTTATCTAAAGTCTGGAAAAACAGATGGCTTTTAAAAGGCAGTAGAGGTTTACAGCCCTGAACTTTATTGGACCAAGTGAGGTAAGCAATATTCAGAGCTGAGCAGCTCTTCACTGAACAGCATTCAAGCAGTCCCCTGTCAGTTAAAGACAGAATGTGTCAGGTTGAGTGCCTCCACTAATCTCAATGATAGAGGTTTCACATGGGGAAGAAGTGGTCTTTCTGTTAGTCAGGACTGAAACTAGTTAGGATTGTATAGATCAGAAACAATGTTTTGAATTATACCTAGAAATGATATGTTGTAGGTCTTGGTGCACAGATATAATGTGGTCCCTGCATGAAGCTCTGGTAAGTAAGGGTGGGGCTGCACTGTACATTAGATAAAGTTCTGGATTGTCCTCCAATGTAGCACTATGTAAAGTGCATTTACTCTGGAGTAACAAATATATGGATAGACGTATTATACCTAACATCTGAAAAGTAAGGTTGTTGTCTCTTAGCCAAGCCCAAATTGAAATAAGCACATCTGGTCATTGATGAAGCCTGGATGTCTAGAAACTGCTAGGGACCCTCAGTTACAATCGTGTGTGATAAGTAGTAAATTGCCCTCCAATAAAGATAACTGACCCAGCCTTTCCATAACAACCCAGAAGTCTTCTTCAAAATTAGAAATGGTCCCTCAGCCTATCTGCAATGAGTTTCAGCCAGATGTACTTCCAATCCACAATCTTATTTCAGCAGAGTCAGTGAACTCCTGAATAGGGCAGATGAGCTGGAGAAATAAAACTGGGTATAATTTGCATACTGAACACAATCAGCTCATAAGTCTCAGTAATCCTCCTAATAGCTTCGTATAAAGTTTGAGCCTGAAGGATGACAAGATGAATTCTACTTGAGAGAAACATTTAAACAAATGAGCCGTTGCCCAGTACTACCTGTGGTATCATTTAATCGTCGTCTTATCTACAGCTGCTAACGTCTGCCAGGAATGTGCTAACATCTGTCACAAAGACACCCTCAACTGATACAGCCATTCCATTCTCTGTACTTTGGGTACAGAATAAGGCTCATGAAGACATAAAGAAGCCACAGTTTCATGTGCTTTTTTTTTTTTTTTTTTTTAAAGGACTTATACTCACATACAGAAAAGACTTTCTGGCAGAAACATGGACCATGAACAACTCAGTGGAATTCTCATAAGTATTGCTAATACAGGACCCATGATTCTTCTGTGTTTGCAGACCCTGAACAAGTGAAGAATATGTGGAGATATTCAAGCACAATAACTGGATGCTGATTGATACAGGAGGGGAAAAAATGCCAGGTTGCTGTTGGTATTCACAGAGAAGCGTCACGTGATGGATTGCTGCATCGGGCCTGAAGTGAGAACTGATTGGTGGGATTGCATTGTTATGAAAATTTGGGATGACAAGCAGTGTCTGCAGAACTTCTGGATGCAAAAAGGCCACATCGCTGGATCTGTGTGCCACCCCTTCAGAGATGCCAAACAGAGAGCTGCATTGGGGGTGGAGAAACAAATAACGATCATAATCTGGAAGCCTGCAAAACTAGATTGTTGCCAGAGTGTGGGCAATCTGTTTGGAATTAGGGAAAACCCACAATGGAAGTGGGTGTGATCCATACATGTAAGTTGTAAGGCTATTAATCATTTCCAGTTATGCAGGATTGTGACTCTGGATTGGCAGCAGTGGGATTCCTGAACTGTGGTGTAGTGTGATAGCTGACGCACACATCCCTGTACTGGCCTTGCTATTGAATACATCAACAAAAAAGGATATTTTCTCATTGTTTTGTGAGTATTGGCGAATTGCTATGGATATTTCACTGACATTAGTGTAGGCTGGTTGGGGAAGGTGTGTGATGCTTGCACTTGTAGGAATGCAGGATTTTTTTCAGGAGCTGCAAGCAGGGTCAGTCTTCCCTGAACTACATATTACCAATGGTGGCATTGAAATGCCACTAGTGTTTCTGGGGACACAACCTACTTTTTGTCCCTGGCTCATGAAACTCTACAATGGCCATCTTGAGAGCAACAAAGCAAGATTCAGTTATCCGCTCAGAAGGTACAGAATGATTGAATGTGCTTTTGGTAGATCTAAGTATTCCTGGACATTACTATTGGCTAGATTGCATCTCAGCAAGACTAACATCACTTACTGTTATGTAGTTCACAGCATGCAACTGCAACATCTGTGAAGCAAAGGGAGAAAAATGGTCCATCTCGCCCCTACATTGTAGCAGCCATGTTGTCCAAGGAACACTTTTTATGAAACAGTGTTTATGGGTCAGTGCCAACTTTTCTGAATCTGTACTGATTGCACGGATAAAGATACTCCGTTTCCAAAATCAGAACTTTTTTGTTCCTTGTTTCTTTGTACACGAAGTGCAAAAATAGGTTAAAATAGTCTAGCAACACTATAACCGAGTGAACCATCCTTTAATATCCTAAAAACAAAAAGGAAATAAACACAAGTATTGTCTGATCTGGTGGCTTTTCATAGGTTCATATATGTGTGGATGTTTTCTTAC